TTGTGAAGCACAAAAGGTGAACATTTGCTAATTTATGTTTTCGTGAAAAAACAGGTCCAAGTCACGCAAAGACACACGGAGCCAGAAGTACGAAAATTAGACAAATGAAGGAAAGGTAAGGAGAAGGCATGCACAGCCGGCGCAGGGCGTGAAAAATGTGGTGGAAATTACGTCACGTGTGGCCATATTCACTAGGCACAATGGCGGCGTTTTGTTATTATTGATGTAGTGCGGTGCGGCACCGTTCAGGCGGTCCAGCGGCGATGTGCACGTTTTCATGGGCCTCGCACCTAACCGTGGCGTACTGCAGGTGTTCGACAGCATCCACTCTTTGTGCTGCATTGTTAGCTACGCGATTTTCCTCCGGTGGTGGTTGTAACCAGGTGTCTGAACTAGAAACCACGGAACGAGCGCGCGTATACGTACTCCGAATTTGCAGCGTCCGTCAAAATTATGCTGAAAAGCCATCATAAAAGATAATGACTGTGCTCAAGAATTCGTTCAATGAATGCCTTGCAAATTAATCACAGTTATGCGGTGTTGCTTCTTATGACAACGGACGATGCATTTGCGGTCCACAGGCTCTTATTTAGACTGTAATCTAATCTTGCTTTTTATGTTCCTGTACAGTTACAACATGCTTCTGCGCATTAAAGTTCCTGTTCTGCTTCGCTTAAGATGCTCCCTCTTCGCAATATTGTCTCGCTCTTCGCAATATTGTCTGTATTGTGGCAAAACTCGTTAAAATGCCTACACGCACCTGCACAAGGTAACTAGGTGCACCTCACTAGATGCGCGTGCTTGTGCATTCAGAAGCTGACAAAGCCGTTCGAACGATCTTGACGAAGTGATGTTGACTTTTTCTCACGCATTCCTTCGGCTAACTTACCCCCCTTTCGACCTAACGCGATCCTGGTCTCCGTTCTCCGTAGCTACTAGTGCGCGTGAATCACACTGGAGACGTGTTCCCACGCACTTTCGGGTGGTCTTCGCTGCTTTCGTCCTAATGAAATCATGGCCTTTGGGATATCCGTAGGAACCAGTGCGCGTCGGACAAAAGAGCGGCGAAAACAAAGAGGCCGGCGCAAACTCAACGGGCTGCCACGCACACAAGCTCCACCGGCGCAGACTTTACTGGCATAATTACGGACCTCCGGGTTTATTGCAGAGAAGACATTTTTTTCTTTTTTTATCGTTGTGTCTAGCCCACAGCCTGACCGAAAATTTCATAAAGCCTAAAGAGAAGTACAAAAGGGGGAAAAAGTGATCTGAAAGAAGCTGTACAAATTTCGGTGCCTGGTTCGTCGCGCGGCAATGTCCGAAATATCATCTTTATTTTCACAAAGAACACATGAAATGAAGAAAAAAGCTTAACGTGCACCTTGCCGTGTTTATCGTAAACGCCGGCAGTGCAAGAGTACAACAGCCATACGCAGAGATTTCGTCAACCGTATCGCGGCAGGACAGCGTGTTGAAATCCGTTCCGTTGGTTTCTGATAGCACCGGCGCGCAGGCCACGTGCTATTTGAGACAGAGAGGGAGTCACGCCTTCTGCTTCGCATTCATATGTCAACAAGAGAGGAGAATTTGCCTAGTCAATATGGCCGACTTCCGGCTTCATCTCGGCTTCACAACGAGTGACGTCAGGGCCTCTCCTTACCTTTCCTTCCTCCGTGGACAAGTGTGTGTACTACCCATCATTCCCATGCTCGCTGAAGCGCCGTGTGTTGCAGCTCCCATAGACACCAGCGCCAGAGTTCCCTCTAGAGCATATTAAGAAACTCTACGCCCACAGCCACAAGCGAGAATGGCTACTGAATTGGCTTGTCTCGATCTCGAGGTGTTGCCATAGTTGTGAGACTACTTTTGGCATGAGTGAGTCTTTGCTGTGTTTAGATTTTGTGCCGTTTAACTGTAGATGACCAATAAGCAGTGTTTCGAATAACCGATTAATTTTACTGCGCAACACATAGAAATCCAGCTATATGAGGCCGTTTAGGTCGTTAATGAGGCATTTTCGTTTAAGCGAGTTTCGTTTATTGGGAGTCCACTGTACATTAATGACTTCTCAGAGACGCTAATATCAAACATGAGGCCGTACGCAGATGATAGTGTTATTTAAAAATCAATACACAGTATGGACGATATTTGTGCTTTACAACGTGATCTTGACATTGTGGTAAGGTGGTGTGAGGAATGGAAGATGTGTTTGAATGTAAAAAAAATGTTGCTTCGTTAGCTTTACCAGAAAACGTGAACTTTTTTACTCGTCCTACAGCTTGTCAGTAGCACAACTTGACCGTGTTGAACATTTTAAGTACCTCGGTGTATACTTGTCTGCCAATTTATCTTGAAATAAGCATATAGGTTACATAACTGGCAAGGGCAACGGTGTGTTAAACTTTATTAAACCCAACTTCAAGTTTGCCCGAAAAAAGTCTGAAAGAGGCTTTGTATGTTACAAATGTCCGACCTATCCTTGAATATGCCTGTACAGTGTGGGATCCTCATGGGCAAACTCTAATATATAAACTAGAATGGATACAAAACCGCGGAGCACGGTTTGTAAGTAATAATTACAATTCTAACTCCAGTATTACATGCATTAGGAATAACTTAGGATAAAAGCCTCTTGAGCAGCGCAGGAAATTCTTGTGATTGAAGTTTTTCCATTCTATACGCTGTGATGAAATCCGCATTAACAAGGGTTTATACATGATGAGCCCACACTGCATGTCACATAGAAATCACTAAAAAATTCCACGAAGTCAGCTGTCACGCTGGTGACTTTGCAAAATCTTTTTTTTCCTTTTACCATTCGCGAATGGAATAACCTGGATGCCTGTGTTGCTGATCTTTCATCTGATGCTTTTTGTTCATCACTACAAGATGTGTGCTTTTTGTGAATGCGCAGGAGCTGCTGCGCAAATGTGTGCCACTTTCGACGGCGCCAACATGCGCTTTGTTTAACTGTGATTCTGCTTCTTTTTCCCTCGCCCACTTGGGCAATGTAGGATGCACTAATAGATAAATAATTAAATAAAATCTTTCGAATGCATTGTGTTGGTTGCAAGTCATGCACATCTTTGGTGGGTGTAGTGCATGGCTCCATGCTCGAAGTGATGCTTCAATTAAGGAATATTCATGGAGCTGCGAACACGAACATGCGCTTCTTAATGATGAGTGTACTGTTCTTGTAGGTACTAACTACACAATGCTAGCTGGGCGTCTGTAGCAGTTCTGTGGAAGTAGGCGGCCAGTCATTTCCAACAGTATCGTGCGTTTGTGGGGTTGTTGCGAATTCCCGATTAAAACTGTCACTCAACGAGTTCACACCGCTGTGCACATTGTTATGTAATCAATTGCATCACTCATACAATAAGTGATGACATCACTTATCAAGGGTGATTAGTTGTTGATCGCACATTGTCTGTGCACTGCCTAAAGGGCTTGATATTGCTTTGAGATCCACTTTAGGCTGCATTGTAATAACATTTCTATCAATACTCAAGTGTGCGGCACAGGATCGAGTCAGTATATGTGACTGTTGAAGCTATGTGTGGTAGCTCGAGCATAAGCCATGGATGATGTCAACAATGACAGCATCCGTGCGCATTGGTGTCATTTGAGCGCTCATACCCACATGCGTTCAATCGAGTATTTAAGGATAGGGTACGTTTGTATATCCCTCGGTCAATAACCACTCACGGCATGCCCCTCAGTGCCAGGGAATGGGCTTGGTTGTTGGAATTTGTCGGGCACTTACTCTGAAAGCAAACTTTGAAGCGATTTATGAAAAATTCCTTTGATAAATGCTTGCCGGTGCTTATTGCAGGAATGTAGCCAGGACTTTTTTCTGTGGGGCAGGAGGAGGGGGGGCGGCACTTGTTGAAGGCTTTGAAAAACTCGTATTTTCATTATTTATTATTGGCAAAACACCTTGCTTTATCTGAATGTGCCCGTTTGCATTTGTTTTTGTTTTTTTGTTGATGTAAACCAGCTTTATGTCTGTGTAAATCAATTATTGTGTTGGTTTTGTTAACCCTTTACGAGTCTGTTTCTCATCTCGATATTATGTTCTTCTTTTCCAGTTGTTTTTTTCATGGTTGCTCACGCTGAACAGGAGCGACAACAGAGGAACCACAAGTTTGATTCCTCCAGCCGTCACAACTTATCAATTTATATTCATAATCATAAATAATAAATATGGAAACATAATTCTGTAATCTGCAGTTTAGTTTGTGAGACTTCACACTATGTACATCACACACATTTAATGAGAATGCTACATTGTAATTCACAAACTTTTTTATCCTGCTTCTTGTATCCCTCTGCTGGAAATTGTTATTTTCAAAAGTGTTATTAAGATAATGCTACATCTAAACTTTTTTTTGCAGTTGCTGGGCATAAGGATAAGTATTACTGTAGTTGCTTAAAAAAAACACTTCGCTATTCCCAGCAGTACTCGTGAAAAAGTAGAGCACGGTTCGATTGAGAAGCTTCAGATAATCGTAGAGTCGCTTGACCCACGTAGGACCGTCACTGGTAAGAGTAGCCCGACTTTCTAAGAAGTGGTAGTGTGATCCTTCACTGAAGAGCGCTTGCAATCTTTCTAAGATGATCGACGGATTCTCCTAGAGTGCACCAGCTCTGACCCACCAAGACAGTCACCCTGTTCCTCTGTAGAGAGTCGTGTACGTGGCAAGTGAAGATCATTGGAAAAGAGTCACGTGTACTCTCATTTTTTTAGTGTTGGACAAGCAGTATCAATACGTGCAATGGGAGGAAACATAAAAACCTAAGACAGAATAGAGGGGGTGTGGCAATATACACCTTTTCGTTCATTTCTAATACTTGAATTTCAGTATTCTAAGTTCTAATCGAAGCAAATTCAAATCTGTTATTATTTGTTAGAAGCTTGAAGTGCTCGAATATTCACACAAGCCGGCAAAAATCGCTAATTGAGAAGCTGATGTCGTTGACATTTCAAAACCACCCACCTGTGCTGCTTTCCTCGCGACTGACAAAGGCAGCATCGATGTCCTCCAGCAGTATGATGCTCTGCTGGGGCGCCACTGACATGAGATGCTGCAGACGGTCGTCCGACAGGCCCCGCTCACTCAAGTTGAGCACACAGATGCTGTACTCAAGGGCACCCGCCAGGGCTGTGCTGCGTGAGACATTAGGAGATGCTTGACTGCTTCGCGAGCATGGAAATCATCACAGTCGTCAACTTCGTTGAGGCGCGTGCTTCCACCACTAAAGGTGCTTTCAGTGTTTGAGACTAATTTCGCACTCAAGCTAATGACGCTAGTATTTTGCGTTTGGAAACGGTGAGCTGCACTCTACAGAAATTATCATAAATGCTTGAAGAAGCGAGTAGGATAAAGCCTGAGGAAGCATAAGTAAATTCTGTAGAAGCTTTTTCCATATATTGGGCCGAAGCTAGCCATCAATCGCAGCTTTAAAAAAAAATAACACCACTACAATGAAAGATCTGATCATCACATGTTTTATTCTATTCTTCTGAAGACATATGTACTGCCAGTCCTCCTTGAAAGACCTATATTCCACTGACACAAGGCAGCACATCATCAGTATATTGAACAGTTTCTCACTGGAAATGCTAACACTGCAAAGTATCCAAAGTTTTACGGGTCATACTTTCAAGCTGAGCTCCAAAAGCTGCATCTGAGTATGGTGGCTGACATTGCAGGGCAGCGAAACCTTCAGTCAGAAAATTTGAAAATGCTGTTCAGATGTTCAGGGTTGGAAAATACGAGCACCTGAGAGTGCTGCTTCCCGACATACTCACGTTAAAAGGGTGTGATTGATAATAATGAATGAGTAATATATGGCACTGCTCATGGGCTTTTTGTTGTTCTACTTTTACATTTGTTTTTATTCTTTCACCCCTGTGACGTATGCAATAAATGTTTTGTTAAACGTAAGCGCTTGCGTCTCGTGTTCTTGTGTGAAATTCGTGCGCTTCCCGAGTTGTATTGAAAGTTGGGCGAATTAGTAATGATTCATTTTTTAAGGTAAACAGTGTGAAAAACGAGGACAGATATGTAGGAAGACACAGGACAAGTGCCGACTTTCAACTGAAAAATTTAATGAAGAAACATCGTATATATATATATATATATATATATATATATGTGACGCTACAACGACTGGGTGACCTGGCCCGGCTCTTACTCCATGTTTATTCTAATCTCACTTCTTCCTTCTCGGCTTCTACCAATCATCACTTTATACATCACACGATTTCCCCTCCCCCTGAAAGAAGGCATGGATTACAAACAAGGAAAAGTACACAAGGAGAGGTTGAGAAGTCACAAATGTCAAAATGCACAATTGGTTTCATGGCCCCGTGGTGTTCCGTAAACTCGCAAAACTTCAGGAAAGAGTGCAGCAGTCCGGTTAACGCAGGAGTTTTGGTGGGCAAGGCTGATATCATGTGACATATGATGAAATGGATGGTTTGTAGAAGCAGAGAAGAAAGAAGTGACAATAGAATAAACATGGCGTATGGGCCACGCCACGTCTCCCGCATCTAGAGTCACACGAGTCGACAGTATGAAGACCTGGTAGCGACTTTAAACCGGCCATCATCATCGAACATCTCAGCCAGACGCAGTGACTGAATGTGAACCACACAAGTGCATTCCAACTCTACACCATGACCAGCATCATGACAGCACCATCGACTGACCTTCCCATCCCCAAGTACACCGGAGCAGCGGACGATGGACTTGTACAGGACTGGTTCAACCTGTTCGAGCTCCACGCTACCGCTGCATCAGGGTCGGAACGGGAGATGGTTACGAACTTCAGCGACTACGTCACCGGCGAGGCATTTAAATTTTACCTCACCCACATATTTGACAACGATGAGTCTTGGCAAAAGATAAAAGAAGAAATGATCATCTGGTTTCAAGACTATAATGAAGATTCGATTAAAACACGCACTCTCAATGCATTCGAACTCCGTCATCGCAGTCATAAGCAGCCTTCACGGATTCGACCACGGATCATGGATTTACATTTCCCGTCAGGTGAAGCTAGCCACGTGCTAACGGAAAGACCACGCGATCGTTTTCCCAACCTTCCATCTGGTTCCTCATCAGCGCAATTATTGCCAATGCTTAACTCTTCGCTGCATAAAGATTTGAATCCACTATTTATAACCCAGGTGCATTTAATACTTCGTGCGGCATGCGTACCTTGCAAACTGACTTGGTATCACCTGTCATCAACATTACTGATAAACCTAAGGAAGCACCTCATAAGACCGTCACATTTACGCATGATGAGTTAGTAAATCAGCGCGAAACCAAACCAGACAACGAGTGTTCACAGAAATCTTATTCGGTCAAAGTATTCAGCTCAGCAGCTCAACAAAGACAGAAGCATTCACAATCAGCATCTTGTGAAGAAAAGTGTTCTGCAGAAGCATCGAGTGTTCATCAATCACAAGATCAAAGCGACGTGAATCCAGTATACAACCTCACTGCATATAATGAAAACAAAACCGCAGGTGCGACTTCTGATGACATAAGTACGCTTCAGGCAACGACCAACAATGAACTGTTTATAAATACAGAAGATTCAAGTGCATCAAACCCGCCACATTATCTTGCGCCGGAAACAGTTGCATTGGTTGGCGTCGTAGAAGCCTGCAGAGGACTCGCTAAGAGTCCTGGCGCAACACGATCAATGTCACACCACAAGCAAGTTGACGAAACGAAGAAATTACAACGTCAACGCATACTTCAACATTGTCAATGGCGAAACAAAACTTCATCGAGTGCACTCTTAAGGCTTGAAGAACATAGCAAAAAGGCCAATCGTGGTGGATACATTCTCCACCAAAGATCAAGAATGTGCCTCCCATCAAACCATCTGCGACATCACCATAGAAAAATTTTCAAAAGCCACAAAAGCACCCCTTGTACTCGGCAGAAACACAGGCAGCGCCCAATCAACCTCGAACAACACGCACGCAAGCTGCCTGCACGACCTGTGCCACGACGAAGAATTCGATGCCTACGATATCCGGACTGTCAATTCTGCAAGGTGTTCGAACCTCGTTTGTTCTTCACAAGAATGCCGGCTGCGATTTCCGCTATCTCCACGTCCAAAGCATTCTTGTGTTATCCAGGGCGCAAGCATCAGCCTCGCCCGCCAGATCTCTTATTGATATGACCGGACTGCCACACTGTCCCCTCAAGTCTTAGCGACGAAGAAGACAACACGTGCATTTTAAAATTTGTGAAACTACCTCTTTATTTTGACATTGGTGACTTCCTAGCCACTCCTTGTTTACTTTTTCTTGTTTGTAAGTTGTAACTCATGCCTTCTTTTGGAGGGAGGGGTATCATGTGACATATGATGGAATGAATGGTTTGTAGAAGCAGAGAAGGAAAAAGTGACAATAGAATAAACATGGCGTATGAGCCACGCCACGTCTCCCGCGTCTAGCGTCACACACACACACACACACACATATATATATATATATATATATATATATATATATATATATATATATATATATATATATATATATATATATATTATTGCAACGAGCAAGGTTGCGTAAAAACACAGGTTATTATTCCAGAAACGTTAGCCGCAACAAGCTGGTACAGGCAGGAACCCGGCAAGCACGAGCCACACACAGACGTCAACGTCTTCTTTCACGCTGGCACAGAGCTGGCGCCACTATGCTTCGGTATAATTACTCCCCGCGCAGAAAGGAGCCAACCTGGCGACCTAGGGAAAGGACACGACAAGGGGGTCATAGCACGGTTTGAGGCTTGATACGTGTACTGTTTCACGCTCACGGCAGCGTTGGTCCGAGGGTGGACCAATGGGCTCAACTTCATAGTTGACAGGAGATGTTTGCCGCACCACACGGTAGGGGCCATGGTATTTCGACGAAAGCTTCGGGGAAAGACCGGGAGGGGTAGACGGGACCCAGAGCCAAACCAGCATTCCTGGGTTATAGTGTACAGTAGACGCAGAGGAATCGTGGTCAGTTTTCTGGCGCCATTGGTCTTGTGCGGTAAATGAGCGAGCGAGTTGACGACACTCTTTGGCATAAGCAGCTGCTTCGGAAACAGGCATTGCTTCGGAAACATCAGGCCTGTAAGGGAGAATGGTGTCCATGGAGCATGATGGCTCACATCCGTACAGAAGGAAGAAAGGAGAAAAGCCAGTGGTTGTTTGTGGCGCAGAGTTGTATGCGTACGTGACAAAAGGGAGCACTTGGTCCCAATTAGTGTGGTCGTCAGAGGCGTACATGGCAAGCATATCTCCAAGGGTACGGTTAAAGCGTTCTGTCATGCCATTGGTTTGAGGATGGTATGCCGAGGATTTCCTATGGACAGTGCGACATGCCTTGAGTAGCTCGTCGACGGCGTTCGAGAGAAACACGCGTCCACGGTCACTGAGTAATTCACGAGGTGCACCATGTCGCAAAATGAGATGGTGAAGAAAGGACGCAACGTCTTTCGCAGTGGTAGCAGGCAGCGCAGAAGTTTCAGCGTAGCGTGTCAAATGATCCACGGCGATGATAATCCACCGGTTGCCTCGAAGAGAGTTGGGTAGAGGACCATAAATATCAATTCCGACGCGGTCGAATGGTCTCGCTGGGCAGGTTAAGGGTTGCAAAGGGCCAGCAGTGCTGTGAGAAGGCGTCTTGCGTTGTTGACACGTGGTGCATGACCGAACGTACTGGCGAACGTGCCGATACATGCCGCGCCAGTAGTATCTTAGACGAAGGCGAGAGTAAGTCTTAAATATTCCAGCGTGGCCACACTGGGGGTCATCGTGAAAGGCAGCGCAGATGTCCGAACGCAAATGACGAGGGATGACAAGGAGCCACCTACGGCCATCCGTCACGTAATTGCGGCGATACAACAAGCCTTCCCGGACAGCAAAGTGTCTTGCTTGACGAGAGAGGGAGCGTGAAGTCGTTTCTGACAAACTGTGAGAGAGGACGTCGAGCAAAGAATTGATCCAGGGATCCTTGCGCTGTTCGGATGGCATGTCAGTGATGCTCAACGATGACGAATCGCAATTGGCAGTTGATAAGCAGGCAAGGTCAGGAGGCAGTGGAGAACGGGATAGTGCATCGGCGTCTGAATGTCTGCGTCCTGA